GTAGGACATGTTTGAATGAAAAAAAACACACCCTTCTCTTTCAAGCAGTTGTTTGACCAGAGATCCTGTCCTTCCCAGACGGCCATAACAGGTGGAATTCCTCTGCACTGATCCTCAAGTTGCCTCAGCTGGGAAAGCTCTGGAGCCTGTGCATGCTTTTCTGCACTATAACAACAATCCCTAATGTTTACACAGGTGAGATGAGTCCTGGACCTCCTTTGCCAAAGAGAAGGTTCCTTGAAGTCCAAAAGAGAGGCAGGCTGGGAAGATGTCCAGCTTTCTGTGCATGTGGTAGCTACGTATGTATCATGAAAAGAAATGCTCTGTCTTGAAATGGTAGTTACTTAGCACCATGGTTTAGCCCCAGCCAGTAACTGAACTTTAACTTTGTGGTCACAAAGGTTTGAGCATTTTTGAGATATTGATAGACTTAAATGTATCAGGTATAATTGGTGTCAAGAAAAACATGGGGAAGTTGGTTGATGCTATGATTATTGCTAAGCAGCTGAAGCAGAGCAGTCAAGCTTTACCTCATGGTGGGGTGGGGCCTTGCTGCCTTTTACTCCATGGAAACAGCCTTCAATCACTCTGAAGGCTGAAGGTTTGGTAGTGGGATAGGGAAGATATGAATGCCATGGAAACCTCTTCCTGCATGGAAACCACTGCTTCACTGAGGAAGTGCAGTGGTGTCTCTTTCGATTTTATTCCTAGGTGTGTGTAGTGGGTCATCCCACAGGAGCAACTAAGATTTTGCTCCAGTTTTGGGAGAGGAATCTGACCCTGAAGGCACTCATATCTTTTGTTGCTGTCCTTTTTTATTTTCCCTTGATGCAAAGTGACACAAACTGAGCTCTGCCATCTAGGACCAGGGCTAAGCTATGCCAGTTCATAGAGCTCTGATGCTGGACATGTTTTGGTGATGCCCATCTTAAAAGCAGTGTATTTTAGCATATGCCCATTAATAAAGATTGGGTTTGTTTGCTGTAACTAAGGAGAATTTTGTGCCTTCTTTTTTAGGAACTTTAGTCCTCGAAAAGAGTTGTTTGAGGATGTACATGTGTGCGGCAACTTTGCTGGTGTGAAGCCTGGAAGGATGGCACACACTTTATTTCCTGCTAGTGCTAATCAGTCTGGGAGCTTATACCACCACTTGCTTCAGCTTTGTTCAGAGAGTGTAGCAATGATGTCTTTCTGGGGCAGTAACACTCACGGTATGTAATCAATCAGTGCAGTTTAAGATGCAAAAGTGCAAAGTGAGGCCCATGACAGCTTGAAGGATTGCATGGGGCTTTATCAGCCAGACTCTATCAGAGTGCAAACAAAAAAATGTTGTTGATGGAAAACTTTATAAAATTGCTTTGTTGAGTGTCAGCTTCACTTTATAGCACATTGTCACATGCCAGTGCTAACACTTGTAGCATAACTTGCTGGCAGAGTATGGCGTGCTTGTCATATGGTATCTTTTTCTGCATTTTTTCCTAGTAAATTCTTGATGGTCCAAACTAGGGTCGTGTTACCAGGTTGTGTTCTTGATGTATAGGTGACAGGAGCTGTGTTCCGTAGCATGTATGGCCAGAGGTGTGCCTACATCACAATTAAAGAATGAACTACGGTGAAACAAAAGGAATGCTTTAGATGTATTTCTGTGCTGTTAAGTGTTTGTTGCTGCTGGACTTCTAACATTCAGGTTCTTCTATAGCAGCATTTCTTATCTGGGGCAAAGGTTTGCTGCAGACTTAGCAGGGTTAGCAGCTACTATGGGCAAGGTGAGATGAAAACATTCTAATTTTTTACTGTTTACTTTTCTTAGCCATTTTTTGTGCTAGACGTTTGCCCAATGCTATTGCTGTATGCAATGGAATTTGTCCTGGTAGTATCATATTTAGTCTAGACAACGGTTGTAGTCACTATAAATTTAAATTGAGCCACAAAGCTCCCTAAATGGTTATGTTATGTGTAGCTAAAGAAAGAAATCAAAGAAACATCACTTATCAGGACTTTGACACTGAGCAGTAACAGAATGAAGCAATGAAGAGACTGTAGGAACATCAAAGCTTGAAAACAACCCTATCTCTGTGGACTCACCTTTTCCCTGAAGATCGGGAAGTGGCAAATAGATAGTCGACAAAACACTCAGTACTTTCTTGACATATGGCCTAGGGAGAAAGCTTGCAAAGCACTTAAGGAAAAAAAAAAAAAGCACAAAGCCCTGTGTGGTACCTGTGAGCCATGGATCTCTCTGGGCTATCCCAGGCATCTGGAGGGCATTGAAGTGCCAGGACCTGAGCAGTTCCCAGTCAGGAGCTGGTGCATGTGGACACTGTGGAGCTGGGCTGTGCAGCTTTACTGGGGTTTGGGCTATGCTGATGTCAGGAGTCCCTGCATTACACCACAAGCTGATTTTTGCAGCTTCCTTAGAGGTTAAAAAGCACACAACACTAAGGCATGTGGGAGGGTTTTATCATGGTTTATGCCACCATATGTGACTCATTAATTGCCAGGCCTAAGCAGGCAGCAAGGCAAGCCCGTGTTTACTCACAACACATGGCAGAAGGCCTGCTATGAGTTAGGGCAGACCCTGGGTGTGAGTAGGATTAATGAGCTCTCCCTATGGGTCAGCTCAGCAGTGTCACTTGAAGGTTATTAGCTCAAACACAATGGACCAAAGGAGCAGATTATTTTGACACTTAGGCCTGAATGTGGCATTTCCAGGGACACGTGCAATGATTTGGCTGGTTTGAGTTTCTTGTGCTGTGTCTGTTCTAGATTACATCATTGACCTTGGTAAGCTGCCCGTGGCTGAGGCCAGAAGCTTGTGCTACTAGGGTGTGCTGTGAATGATCTTTTCCACTGTAGGTGCTGGGCTTTCCCTCCAGGATAGCTGAGAAAGGCTGTGGCTCAATGTCTAAACCATGGCTGGGGTGTTTGGTGGCTTGGTTAGGTCAGCTCAGCATACATCTCTTCAGTGAGTCAGCAGCCCTCCTGCCCCCCTCCTTAATTTGGGGTGCTCTTTAGTTTGTGAGAGAGCTGAAATGTAGATACTATCAGAGGGTGCTGGGGTATGTTCCCAATATGAACACATATTAGTGATTTTGCCTCTGTGTTGTGGAACCAAGGACTCTGAGAAGGGCAGGAGTAAGCCATTCTGACATGACTAGCAGCCCCAGATAAAACTTTTTGGTGTTTGCTGTTGGCACACAGGTACCAATACCCTCTGTGCCCCTATAACACGGAGAGGCTGCCTGTAAGTACAGCATTAGGCAGCAGAGCCATGGTAAGAGACTCGTTATTTCAAGGTTTCAGCTTTTCAGAATACAGGACATACCTGAAATTCATTTCTCCATGCTGATCCTGAGACTCTTCCATAACCTTGACATTTGGCTCTCTCCTTAGCTTTCCCTGCTTGTTTTGTGCCTGTACAGAGACACTCACCAAGCCCTGCCACATATCAGAGCTGGCATGTGCTGTATGGCTGGAGGCACTGGGGTCAGCAGCCACTTTGCAGGGAGCACCAAGGCCAGCACAGGCACTCCCTGTCTCTTACAATCACAGCAGCAAAGTCACTTCAAGAATTAATGTGGTATTTGGTATTTCATGTACACCCATAATTTATGAATGAAACAAACACTCCCACCTGGCTGTTTCCCCTTATATCAAGAGCCACTCTGACCTGTTACCTCTCTCCAGGCCCTTGAACATTTGCTTATTCATCTCTCACAGGGGCTATAACCATGGCCTGAGCAGCAAAATTTCCCAGGCACCTCAGCCAGGGCAATACCTGGTTTTGTAACAGGAATTGTAGCCCCTCTATGATTTGCTTCTGCTTGCAGGCCCTAGAAGCCAAACGTGGTCAGAGACTGAAGGTAAAGTGTGTCGGCATCTGCCCATATTGCCCTGTTTCAGGCTTTGCCCATGGAAACAAGTGTGTGTGTGTCTCACTGTTGCCCTCAAACTACAAGGAGAGAAAGCGCCAGACAGGGAGAGACGTCCAAAGCCCCACAAATGCCCTACCTGCTGCAGATGGGCTGAGCACCCCTCAACTCATGACCCTCTTCCTTGCCTTTCCCCATCTGTGAATTTTCACCTCTGAAGTGCTTCTCCAGCATCTGCAGCCCCAGCACTTGCAAGACAGGTAATCATGCCCTTACCCAGGTTGCTCCAGCATCTCAGGGGTTCTCATCCTATAACGGGTTTAGCAGTGGTAAGGCTTTGGACTAGAGGGGTTTCTAGTCTTGGTTTTGAACATGTGTAAAATGAGATGAGATGTGTGCAGAGCCTTAAGGCTTAGGGAGCACCCAGCTGCTAGAAGGAAACAGCAGCATCTCCTCACCCTGGCACAGCCAGACAGGCACAACCACCCATGTTCCTGTAGCTGCCCCCTCCTCTGCACACCCCACCTACTCCCTCCCCACACTCCTCTTCCTGTCGCTGACATCCCTGCCACCCTCTCACATAGCACATGCCCCATCATCTCCATCTGGCAGTAAAGATTTCAGTAGCATTTCTTGCTCCATTTAGTATTTAAAGCAGTCATCCTTCCTTTCCTTTAATTCTCCCCTAATAAATATGATCATTTAATCCTATGAGAGCTGAAAACCCATTTCTGAAATTCTCCTGGTATGTAATACAGTAAAACAAGCCTATAAATATAAATAATTATGATAAAAAGGGATAAAATGCCAGACTTGGGTCAAACATACTCGTATAGTGACACTAGCAACAAATAACTGCGTAGTGTTTGAACATAGATGGAATGTAGAGTAGCTAGCTGTTGCTCATAACTGTCAGACTCCTAATTTGGACAGGCCATATTTTATTGATAGCAGAGCAAACACAGTCATGATCCATCCCTACCTTTCCTGCTTTAGGAAAAATCCCATCCATCCCCCAGGAAGTAGGGATGAAAAAAACAGTGGTGTGAACATGAGGTGAAACTATAAGATGGAAAGCACAGTCCCAGGCTGCGTTTCCCAAGTGTTTCTTGCACATCATATGCTAAGTTCAATTTTCCAAAAGCTTTCTTTTATTTTTAAAGGTAACATCTTTATTATTATTATTATATTTATTAGTTATTATTATGCAGAGATGAGATTTTTTTCCCCCTTTGATCACAGAGCAAACAGTTTGCTTTTGAAAATGTTAATGGAGTCCTGATTTAAAACTTTTTTTCTTCTTTTTCTTTTTTGTTTTTGTTTTTTAAAACGTTGCAACAGGCAGGATCTGGGATTCGATTTCCTCTTCCTACACAACGAAAGATTCTGGAGTTCGGACTCCTAGCTGCTACCAGTAGGTCCTGCCTTGCTCAGTTGTTGTCGTCTCAGTGTGGTTTCGCCAGGTGGGGTGGGTAGGTGGGTGGGAGGGGAGGAGTTGCAAGAAGGGAGGGTATTTGTCAGCTATGTCGAGTCTTGGTTAACAACTTTGCCTCCATTCATGGTTGGTGTCCCTGAACTTTTTCTTGAGCGTCCTTGTTTTTCTCCAATTTCATGCAGCGATGGCTCTCTGTACATGCACACTGCAAACAGAAAAGACACCCATTAACATCTCTGAAGTCACAGACATTAGTGACCATAATGAACTATTTCTTTGTATTTGAGGCTGAAATTCCAGCCTCAATGCAAAACCATACACACCTACAGAAACCTCAGTGACCCAGCAGGAGAGCCTGTTAGCAAGCAGGATGTCACATGCCCTTGCTGCCAGTCAGACTTTTTTTCTGTCTCTGGATTCTTCCAAAGGCACAGAGAAACACAGGATTTCTCACAGATAAGTCTTTCTGGGCTTTTGTGCTTTACTGTTTTTTTTCACATTGTATTTATACATATAAAATAAATCTTCCAGTTCACAGTACTGTGTATTGTCTTGAGATGCTGCTAACAGGTCCAAGAATTACCCTCTCCCTATCTGTTAATCTCCAATAGAAAGCCCTTGAGAGTCTTGAATCGAAACTACCCTTGCATCTGAGCCACCTAAGCCTTCTGGGTGTTAAGTAAGTTCTTGATCTGGAAGTGGTACTCAAGCCCATTTGGCAAATTGGCCAAGAGCTGAGGTCTGCTCTTGGCATTTCTTGGTTTTCCCCCTGTAAATGAAGACAGCCAGCAAAGGCCAAGGCTGTGAGCAGACACATTGAGATGAGTTTAGTGACAGCAAGACAGGAGCCATCCGAGCTCTGTGTGGTCACCTGGCAGCACCTGAGAACAGGGTGGAAGGAGGGCATCCTCTCTCCAGACGCTGGGTAAGCAATGTGTGTCCTTTAAAAATGTACTTGCTGGAGCCTAGACAGCCTGTAAAGGCAAGGTCTGTCCAAGCCATGGCGCATCCCCCTGTCCTGTGCAGCATAAAGCATTTATCCAATTCACCATGTGGACTAAGTCCTCATGGCTGTCCTCATGCTGTGTGAGGTGTGCCAGAGCAGGGGCACACACTGAGCAGCTCAAAACAAAGGGAACATCTCTGATGAGCTCATTGCAAATGTGGTGGGGTGAGGATGTGACTGAAACAGTGAGACATCTCAAGGGCAGGCACATTGGCGTTGAGAACTTAAGGTAGGTCCAGACTGCAAACGTCATTCCCAGACCTTTGCAAATATTAGGATAGAAAGAAGTGATTGTGTACTGCTTCATTTTGAAAAACTGTCAGGTCACAAATAGCACAAAGCTCAAACACAGGAGATAGAGCCCATCAGGTTTTCTTCCAGGTAATCAACAAGAACAAAACTGCAAAAATTATCTGAAGAAACAAAAACATATCCCATGTATGAATCTGTCATATAAGCACTTATATTCATAACCTCCCCTGATATGCAAATAAATCCTGACAATTAGAGGCAGGTTGCAAATGACATTATTGCTCTGCATTTCACTTCTAGCTAGATAAACAGTTATAGTAGTGTGCAACAATAAAGGACAGAGATAAAGTGCAGTCAACTGTGTATTAATAGGAGGGATATTGCATTGAATACATGAGCAGTGAAAAAATATTACTTTTCCCACAGAGCATTTTTCATGCAAAGCTTTCAAAGCAGTTTAAACTCACACACTCTAGCTGAGCCTCCCAGTGTGGCTGCAAGGCAGGCTTGCTCTGCAAACTGTTATTGCTACTGGAGCCATTTTTTGATGAAAATGAGAAAAAAACAGAAAATGAATGACATCCCATGGGTCTGGGCCAGGATGGGCAATGCCAGGACTGCCCATCAGCTGGCCAGACTATCAGTGCTGTCTGCCTGCTGCAAGGAAAGTGCATAGCATGGTAGCAGAAGCAGAAGTAAAAGGGCTCTCACATCCCCTTTCAGCGGCTGAGCTGCCCCTCACACCTTGGTGAGTGTCACTGAACAACCTGGCAATGGTGAATTTGTCTGTTGCGGCAAAGTACCTAAGACCATCCTAAAGAGCAGTATGAAAAGGTTAACAACTGAGGAAAACGTGTGTCTTTTTGATTTCTCACCCTGAATTGCAGAGCCTTTTATGACACTGAGGATGCACATCACTTCTGTGACTGACCTAATTCTCTGACATGACATATGCCCAGCAGAGTTGGGTATTTGTGCCAGCATTGCCCCAGTCCCCCTAATATCCCATACACAAATTCCTGCCTCTGGTCTAGCATTGTCTTCACAATCTCTCAGGTTGCAAGCTGGAGCGGGGGGGACCACCATGATTATCCCTGCACATGCTAAGTTCATCTCACCCACGTGTATCCCCAGTACCCAGTTGAGCTGGGCCAGATGCTTAACCACAGCCCTCGAGCCTGTGCAAAGTCCCTAGAAGCAGCACCACAGCAAAATGCCCTTCCTCAGCTCCCTGCCTCTCACTGTAGCCTTTGGGCAAAAATGTTAAGCTGCTAAAGAGGCCCATAGAATAACAAATATAAATCAGGCTACAGAAGTAAACAACATTTGCACCTAAAAATTAAGGAAACTTTCTACCTAGCAAGCAAATAATCCAGGAATTGTAGGTTTATCTTCCGGTCTAGTGCATGATACAAGTACTGACATGGGGCACGGCTGGAGGCTGCTCACATAGTGCTTTTCAGTCAGAGCTGTCAAAGCCTCTGTGCCAGATAGGCTGTGCCAACAGACCATGCCAGAAAATCTGTAGCAGCACAGGACAAGCATATTTTCAGTATTGATCTACACCTACAGTACCAGTGTACACAGTATTTATATGGCATCATGCACAAGATGGTGCCCGGATATTCTCCTACACAAGAGGCATGTGCTGAGCTATGGTAATTGCTCAGTGATGGCTGCAAATCTGTGCGCACTGTGACATGCAGGCGTGTGCACACCAACACACAGGTGTGTATGCACACAGCTGCACACGTGGGGTTTTAAGGACACTTTGATATGTTGTACAACACAAGCTATTGGACTGCAGTCTGTTACTCCTTGTACTGAGGAAGCTTGAGCGTGACTCAAGCATGGAGGTGTTAGTCATGGACCGGGACGTGGGGGTGGGCGGGGGGGGGGGGTGTTTGCAAATGGGTTGTTGTGAGTGCTCAGGTCTTCTCAGTTTAAAAGAACATCTTGGTGGTTCAGGACTAGCAGCGCTCACTGACAGGTCTGTTTGGGGTCTCTGTGGGTGTGTGAAGACACACTGCCCCTGTCACATGCATCAAGGTAAACTAGCAGCAGTGTGCCTGTCAGGATGCCCAGACACTTGTGAGGTCTGCTGGTGCACACAGCAAAGGCAGCTTTGGAAGGATGAGCAATTTGGCTAGAACAAGAGTCCCCTCCCTGCTTTGCCTTGCTTCTCCCACCCACCCACACCCACACACCAAGCCAAATACAGCCCTTAATGTCTGAAAACCAAGCTACTGCTTTGGAGTTTCAATCAGATAATCAGCTCCTATGTCCCAGATTCTAATCAACACATCCATATTCATGCTTTAATTGGAAAGTGTTGTTAGCTTGATCTGCTGAAGAGCCACAGGCGTAAATGGAAGGGAGTGAGCAACAGTGGAGTTGTGCTCATATCTGGTTCTTAAGGCTTTCAATTCCTTGCTTCCCTGTTAACCAGCAGTGCCTGCCATTCGCATGCCCAAGAAAACAATTCTGCACAAAGAAACAACTGGCAAAGTAGGCAGGCAGTAAATGGGGGGTACAAGTGAGGAGAGAGTGACAGGTAGCATCCTTCCTGAAGGCGAAGGTATAGAGTGGGCTGCCTGTCACCCAGGAACAGCTCAATCTCCTGCCTATGCGCTGGCAAAGGATCCCAGCCTTATTTCTGCTTCCCAGGCATGGCACTGGCACACCACCCACACGGTGAAACCAAATTCACCCTGTGCTGCTTCCCTGAGTGTCAGGGACTGCCTCAGTTTGGAAAGAACACACCATTTGGTGTCCTGATCCTAGTATTTCTCACTTGGCAACACTGCAAGTTGAGAAGGTTCAGGGGATGCAACAAACTCGATGTATTTTCCTTAGAATACAAGGAAAAGCTTATTAAAGGACCTTAGATATATCCCGTCCACTTAGCTTCACTCCTGCCTTTTCCTACCCCAGATCTTGGTGAGTTAGAAGGAACCAAATTTTTCCCAAGTTGCAGCAGAGCAGGCAGGCAGGTGGTTAGTCAGGCAGGATCACAACACACCCTGATAGCATCCTGGGCTGGGGTCTAGGCAGGGCTGGGCTGAGAGCACATCCTCTGGCAGGCAGCCTGGGAGACAGGCTCTTTCCCTTGACAGATGCCACAGCTTTGGGTGTCGGTATCTGCAGTAGCGGCTGCATTAGCTAATGCTTCAGTGAAGAGAATTAATTGTCTGAGCAGCAGCTAGGAGCAGGAGGGAGCAAGTGATTATGCACCCTCGTTTTCTGCCTCTAATTACTCTGTTCTAAACCCAGTCCCAGCTGATGCATTTCAGAGGCATTTGAGCTCATCTCTATCTGGTGGCTAAATGTGCAGGATGCTGCCAGATGGAATCACAGTTTGTTCAGATAAGAAACACAGCACAGACAAAGCACAGGATAACAAAAAGTGAAGCAAAAGCAGGTTAAAATATATTGTATTTGCCATCTAGTAAGATTATTAGGAGTTTGATAGATGAACAAGTGAGTGTGGGACAGAAAACATACCAAAGCCTTCCCCTTTGAAATCTTTTGGATGCGTCTTAAAAATCGGATTCAAAAGAGGAGCTGTGTTAGCGAAAACTGATAAAGAGTGTGCAGTTTTATTGGTGTTTTTTGTGTGTGTGGCTGTTTTTTTTTTTTAAGAACACTTTTTAGAATGTTTTGTTCATTAAGGTGATACCTTTGAAGCATTTTCACTAGGCCTACCACATCTTCCTACTCAACAGTGTCTCATACTTCTTTACAACACCCGAGGACTCTGCTTTACCAAAACTGGCGTGTTGCATCCCTGGGAAAACACACTGGGAAAAATCTGGCTGCTGTTCCATGCACAAGGGTATTCATCAGTGATAATGAATGGATCAGACTAGTCATTGACAGGTGACCTTCATATCTGAGGTATGTTGACATCATGAGGGCTGAAGCATCATGAATTTGGAGCTAGGGGCAGCTCTGTTGACTCAAAGGAAATGTCTTCTACTTTCTGTGGCCAGATTTGCCACCTCAAAAGCATCCTGGCCTGGGTCAGGTGAGACATGAAATGTAGCTCTTTTGGGAGAGCTACCTGGAAATGATGTCTTCAAATGTAAGGAAATATAAATAACAGAGCATATCCACAATAAGTATCTGATAAAATTATCACCTAAGTGACTGAAAAGTCTTCCATCATTTGAGATGGGTTTAGATATTTAAAAGAACAAGAAGCACTGTGGACCATAGTGTTTGTCCAGGACTAACCACTACAAGCAAGCACTTAAAGAGACTGAAATAGGTTTAAAAGATTGCTAGGTCTCCAAGTGACAATTATATTGAAGTTAATTTCTTGTGCAGTCTGGTTCAACCTATACATCTGCACTTCAAGGGCTCATTTAGCTCGAATGATCAGTGATCAGAAATAAAAATATCAAAAGAAATGTGTTGCGTATGTGTGTTTTTAACCAAAACTGGCACCACACAGTAAATTAACTGCTGCCTCCCAGGCTGTTTGTCTTGGCTTTGCCTGTGCACAGATGGAAGAGGAACTTAATGTTTCCCCTGTTATTACTTATCAAGTTTTTTTGCTTTCATATTGATTAAGCTTAATGTTATTCCCTAAACCAAACAAATCCTACCTAAACTAAACCAAAAAATCCCTCCTACCAGCCAAACCCCAAAACTTTTCCAGTAGGTAGTTAGTGACTTTTGCACAGAACACATCCAGCATCCTGACAATCTACAGGAGTCAAAACAGTCTGTGGGATTAACACAGCATAAAGCTGTAGCTACTAAAAGCCACAGATAACACACATACATACATACCATTGTATATATGCACATGTAAATATATGTAGTCCTTAGAAATCATATGGGAGGACATTTTGTATTTATTCATTAGTTTACTTCCCATCTGTAACTTTGAGGAGAGGACTTCTGAATTCAGAAAGCAGTGTGAAGCAAAGGGAGTCAAATGAGCTTCAGGAGCAATGTTGGCTGTTTTGTGTTTTCTTTCCCTGCAAACACTCTCTCAGCTAAGCTGCTGCATGATTTTTCTGCACATGGCAAATGACTGGGAAGTATCATCACAGAGATAATTGCCTTTGAAGTGGTGGGTGAAGTGATTCCTAGCAATGTCACACCTCTCCTTCCCAGGGGACCAGATTCCTCCTTGTATAGATTACTGTGTCAGCCATCATGTGGCAGGGCTACTGCCGGGGGTGGTACAGAGCAAAAGGAAACCTGGGCACATTACTGCAGACAGAAGCTGCAAGGTACTGGCCTGAATAAGCAGCAAAGCCCATGTGCTGGGGCATGCCACAGGATTTAGCAGAAGGAACATGCAAATATAGCAGGGGAGTGCTTTGAATACTTCCTTAGAGTCATGACAAAGAGAAAGAAGCTGTTAAAATAGGGTAGGAATTTCCCCTTTTCTGTAACATCTCTGCTTGCAAGATCTGCTCTCAGAGACTTTGATGGATGCAGCACAGAGAATTCACGTGGAGCTGAGAGTGTTTTACTCTAACCATCCCTACAAGCCTCTGCTACCTACAATGAATCTTAGGCTTGGGAACAGAGTCCTCTGTCTGGAGTCACAGTCCCAGACAGCTGAATGCTTTGGGAAGCTGACACGTGCCTCGCCTTGGGAGACTGCCAGCCCTTTGATGCAGCAGTGCTCACAGAGGCCGACTGCAAAGCATGTGGAGGAGGGAAGGAGTGGAGGAGCCCTTAATTTGGCTGCCAACTTTCAAAGCGCTCACTCGCTCAGGAGGTTGTGACAGCTGTGATTGAAGCAAGCGTGGGAGGATGCAACTGCAGGAAAGGGAAGCTCTCGGGCTGGGCTGGGTTTTTCAAAATGAAAGCCAGAGTGGCATTTGCTGCAATGAGAACTCTGCTGTGGGTCAGGCACCTCCAGTAAGTCAAGGCTTTCCATGAGGAGAGCCAGAGGAATGGCTTAGTTTAATGCATGCAGAAGACAACTATTCGAGCTATTTAACAGACACCACATTACATCAAAAAAGAAGCCTGGATTCAAAGGAACCCACTGATCAGTGCCAACACTTAGCCAGGCAGCAAAGAAATACCAGAAGGAGCTGGAAACGCAGTTGTGAAAGCTAGCACTTGCAAAAGACTCTTTTCCCTACTAAGGCAGGAGATGAGCCAGAAGAGAAGCTGGTGAATGACCCCATGCCTGAAAAAAGCCCCATTCCTTGGCAAAACTCAATGAGGGCCCAGGGCATCAAGCACACTAATGCCTCAAATAAACAGGAAAAGTCTTCCAGCTGCAGAAAAGCTGTTGAAAACAAGCATGGGACAAGCAACCACAGGCCATTCTCTGCTCCTCCAACATCTCCTGTGCAAAGGCCACAGACACTCTGGGAATGCCGAGCTGAATTTCTCTCATTGTATTTTGCTTCAGTGGTCCAAAAGATGATTTCAGCCTGCCTTCCTGAACAGGCCTTTCACTCACACACACACACTCATCTGCTCCTGCACCTTAGCTGGGAAGCTGTTAAAACAGATACTAGTGATGGACTTAGCTGTGGCTTCCACCTCTTGTGAGCAGTACCTGTCAGGAAAGCATCAGTTCACTCCTCTCCACATGTCCAGCCCTGACCCCACAACCAACATGGGGGTAGAGAGAGGGGACACACAGCTGCACAGCTGAAGCCAGCCCCAGCCTGATGTGCCCCTGAGGTGGCCATGGCAGGACTGAGATGGGGTCAGAAAGACTTATGTATTTTGGGGATCAGAAAGCAGTGTCTTTTCCAAGCAGCAGAAGAAAAGAGATCTCCTTGTTTCCAAAATCAAGTTGGTACTTGTTAAGTAAGTACTAGGCTCACATCACTATATCTCTCCATTTGTCAGCCCATAGAAAGCAACATACCATGGCACAAGCCCGTGACACATTTCAGTAGTGTACTGTTAAGCAGCATGAGGGCAAAACTTCTACTCTATGACTTTTACTGAAGATTTACATGGTGATGAAGACATACACCATGACAGCATCTTATCTAACTTTGAACGTCTATGATAAGATTTCTCTACCCCTCCAGTAACTAACCAGGATGTCTTTGCACATGAGAAAAAAAAAAAAGATTTAAGTCATCTTAGAGTAGACATGCAAAGCACATCCACATCTGTGCTGGTAAAACCCATTTCTCTTCTGTTACATCAGCAGAGCGTCAAAGTCTAAAATCAGATGAGACAAATACTATCTCTACTGACTCTACATGGGACTTGAAACCCACTGAATGACATTGAGAAAATTCTCACAGAGAACCCACACTATGGTTACTGCTGGATCAGAATCCCTTCAAACCGCTAGCAGCTCCAGGGCTGCTTTCTTTTCTCAGTAACTTCTCATGTTGCTGGCCTTTTAAATCCATCCTTTAGCACCCCAAAGCTGACAAACCCCTTTGGGATGATGTACAAAGTTTATTACATGGGAAGGAAAGCACATGAAATGTAAGAGTGCAGCGCATGACCTTCCTAAGATGTTACAAATATTGTCCTTGCAGCCAACACCCCCATCCAGAAAGCCCCAAATCTGAAGTTGCAAACTCCCCCTCCCCATGCCCTGCTGATGGAGGGGGTGAGCAGACTCCATACCTTCAATGGGTTTGGGTACAAAATGTGATGAGGGTTTGGTTTTTTTCACTCGGTTTCCCTTCATAATTTGACCTTCTTTATTGAGTCCCAGGAACCACGCTCGTCCAGATTCTTGCTGCCGGTACAGCGTGGAAGAGTAAATAACATAGTAGTTTTCAAAGACAGATTCCTTAAATTTGCACTCTGGTGTGAAAACATCCTGCAGTGAGAGAGAGAGAGAGAGAGAGAAAAAAAGAGTGATAGAAGGAATTAATCACTGATCTCCTAAATTAGGCATCACTGAATGATACACGATGGTCATGCATTGTGGTTAGTTTAACAATGGAAAACAACAGGCATCAGCAATACCAGTTACCAGCAATAACACATCTAGAAAGATCTCCACTGAAAGGGAAGGCTCTTCTTCATCAGCAGAGCTGTGTTTCGCAAAACATTCTACAGTAAACAGTCATAAAAAATGTGCAGGAAAAGTCAGGAATTTTCCAGGATTTAGACTGAATACTAAGCAAAATTAAAGAAGAGAGCAGAGAAGCAGAGACAGCCCTGCTGCTCATTGGCTGTTCCCAATGCCTTCCCCAGGCTTTGCTCTTACCTTCCCTGTGATGTGCAATTTTTGTCTAAAATATTGAGGCTTCTCCAAACTCTTACGGGCAAAAGGCAGTTTATTAGGAACATTTAAGTGGATTTAGAGAAACAGGAGTGCACAAGCTAGTAAATTATTTATTTTCAAAAGTGATGGGAGGAAATGCTGGCACAAAGCCCAGAAATCATTCAATAAAGAGCAAGAAGTAATCTCAAAGACTTCCGACACAAATATTTCTTCAGAACTGAGAACTGGTCCCACACCTGCCCAGGAACAGGGGACACACAGGTCTGTCCCCAAAGTGTGTGCTGGCTGTGAGAGTGCCTGTGCCTTTGCCACTTATGCTGGCTTTGTATAAAGTCTCAAGAAGAAAACTACACTCACCTATGGACCGAACCTTGTCATGTCCCAGTAACTTTTCATGATTTAACAACAGGGGAAAAACTAAACTTCTTGTAAAAGAGCTAGCTGGCAAGGGAACTCTGTGACAGTGGGCTCCCACACCTTCACTAAGTCAGTTGTGGTTGTTGGTGGGTTGTTATTTTTGCTTGGACTTTGGTTCTGAGCAGAAAATTCATCTTGGCAAAGCAAATTTTCCCACTGGGTTCCTTAAAGCTATGACATTATTGCAAAACAAAGCCCAAGCCACAATGAAGGAAAACTGTTTTAACAGAAACATCCTTTCTTGTAAAACCCCAACAAGGTATCTCAGAGCCCCATGAGAGAAGACAGGTGCTGGTACAGGTGAGTGATGCTCTCTTCCAAGTCCTTCCCACTCAGAAGTCTTTGGGAGCTTCTCTAACCTTGCTAATGGAAAACCCATGACCAACATCTGAGCAAAGCATTTGGAGTAATGCCACCCACCTACCACAAATCTCACCTAAGGGTGAATATTTTGAACGTTCAGCAACACTCAGGTATATTTGCGAGTTATATAAAGTGTTGCTGGTCTGACAACAAATCCAGTGTGCAACAGACCTACGGAGCCAGGCAGGCTTTAAGCCACAGAAGATAAAAGCACAACTGAAAGTGCAGACCTGTGCTGCACATGTGAAATTTCCATCCATCATTAGTGTCACACAAACACTGTCAGCCCAACAGATCTTTTTGCCCTATCTGAGGGAGTCTTCCTTGGTGGAGAAATAAATATTTTAAGAAGAGAGTGAAGAAACAGAAATCTAGATGACTTAGAACACTACAAAACAGTTTTTGACATATCTTCCCAAAAGATCAGTGTTTAAGCGCTCCTTAAATCTGTTCTTTATCTCCAGCCTTTGTCTTGCCTTTGAAGACAAAGCCAGGCAGTTTGCTCCAGTTACCTGAGAAGAGCTGGCTCAGGGACTCTCCTTGGCACCAGGCACAGCTAGGCAGCATGTCCTGTGATGAAGAGCATCTCTAAAACCAAACCGACCAACTCAATCCCCTTTCCCATGCCTTCATTACCCAATCAATATAGACTTATCAAGAAAATTCCTTTTAGGGGGACTGAAAAGTTGTTAAGCTGTGAAGTACAGCTATCAACCTGACCAAAACATGGAAGGTACTGTGCATGAGATAAGAGAGCCAGATTTTTAGCATGTGTTTTAATTTCAGTGTGGAAAAGAGACTATTTCGTATTTTCAATAAAGAAGAAATATAAAAACTAATGCATTTTGAAAATGTAATTTCAAAAAGAAAAAGAAAATCTAGATTTTATCTAAAAGTTATTATAAATCAAAATTTCAGATAAATATCTATTGCAAAATACTGCATTACAGTATTTTACAACATGGATGTTCATAAAAGCAGCTGCTGTACTCTATATCCACTTGTACCAATAAAGCATCAAAATTACTATTTTTTTTTTAAGGAAATGTATTTAAAACTTAAGCCTAATGAAGAGTCAAGAAAAATAAATTAAAAACAGTGATTTTCTTTAAATGTTTAAGCTCCTCCACAAGCAAACAAAACTATTCCATTGTTTTTGTGAGTTGGCTGGTTGATTCCTCCTCCCCCACAATTCAGTTGAAATAGCACTTCAGGACACTAAGCCATGGCAACACCACCAAGAAATAACCCAGCTCTGTCCGTTTGGCAGTTTAGAAAACTCACAGATTTGACAGCTAAGCTCTAGTTAAATTATGTCATTTTTATTAATTATTATTATCCTTCTTATGTATATCGCCTTACCAGCAACAGCTAGTGTCTCACTGCGCTATGTAGGGACAACTACACACCAGAAGGCAATTCATCGTATCACCAAACTGACATATCACTAGGTCTTCACAGGTTTGAGCACCAGAAATCTCTGGTGTGGTCACTACCACGTGCAGACACGACACAATGAGCAAGAGGATGAAGAAGGAAAAAAGTGTCGACCAGAAAGGAGATGGGACAGACAAGCAGAACACAGGTTACTCTCCCAGGCACCATCTGGGATATTTGGAGGGTCTTCAAAAACATGCAAACCTTTAAGCTTTTCTTCATCAACATCTTTGTGGTAGCCAATGTCAAGCCTTCAGCTACATCACATCACTTAGTTTTTTTGCATATGTCTTTTGCTAATGGCTTTGGGGCTACCAATAACAAAACGCCATTGAGATATCAATGGCAGAACCTCTCTGCAAGATCTACAGTCAAAACTAATCGTGGCAACTATGTCAAATTAGGTGGGAACTTCTGTTTCAGTTGTCTTGGGCTGAGAAGATCTGGGAAGAAAGAGGAGAGTGCAGGTGAGCATAACAGGCTTCACACTAATAAAGTAGTTCGTAGCAGCCACTACTGGTTAGACTGAAATCTGAGATAAATGAGGGTGGTTTTGGAAAATCACTGGTCTGTTGGCCAGACCTCTGGGGCATGCAAGCTTTTTGTTTTGTTTTCTTTTGCCTTTTAAAATTAATTTGGTGTTGATAAAATGTGTTAGATGGGAAGACCTGGAGTCCAATACTTCCCCTTTATTCCACAAGCACAGAATGACTAAAACCAGCAAAGGGATCCTCAGACTGTGCCCCTCACATGCTTCTGACAGGACATATGGACGTCTTCCTCCAGGGGTAGTGGTATAGGGTCAGGGGTCAGGAGCACCCACTTCACCCTCACTTGGTACAGGGGCCTTTTGAACAGGCTTTTAAAGAACTCCACTCAATTATGTTTCCAGCTCTCTCTCTAATACAAATAGCACAGCCAGGTACAAGTGAGAGGACAGATGGCTTCATCTTTTAATCACTGGTCTTTTATCAGTCTTTAAACAAAGAAATACATCATGACTCTCTTTTTCTGCACAAATTCCATAGAGCCCCTGGCCCCCTCTCAGCATCATCATGAATTCAGCTCACTCAGAAAACCCACTTATCCTCATTAAAGAGAGTATGCTTGTGATCTGGAGGGGAAAAAAAAGAAAGAAAAAGGTAATTTGTCTGTTTTTAACTTCATGTGAAATATGTGAATTTGACCAAATAATTTTTAACACAAAGTAAACAAATACATTTATTTGTTTACTATTTGGCGATCTAGAGCCCAAGGTAGTGTGTCAAATGTCTACAGATATTAACTGAAATCGTTTGAAAAAAAACAGATTTTTTTTTTTTTAATTCTTAAACTAAAAATCTGTATGAAATATTTGTAAAAGAAATGTTGGTAATTTACCTGCAGAATGATTAACATCTGCCTTCAACCTGTTTCTGTATCTCAGTCAAATCCCTTGAACAAAAGGCAATTCTAGTATGAAGAGTAATTAATTGGCTTTGAAAAACAAACATAGGTTTGGTTTGTGTTAACTCTAGTTTTATTGGAAATTGCAGTCTAGAAAAAATGGTAGGTCTCACACAGAAAATAAGGGAGAACACATTCTATGACACTTTGAATCAAAGGGAGCTAAATATATGCAGCTGCTATTTGGGGGGGATTCAGTGTGTCAGACGTGCTCAGGGAGGGTGTAAGATACCATGGATTGCCTCAAAATTTTAGAAAAAAAAATAAGATGTTTCACTTATCCTTGATCCCAGTAATGTTTTCTGCATCTGTAGATGGAAATGTGGACGGCATTTCCAGCACAAGCTAATCTCTGTATTACTTGAGCCAGTCTGGTCCTTCAGGGAGGTATTGGTAATGCCTGGCCCCATCTGCCCCTCCTCCCCTGCAGCACAGCTTGAGAAGGCTGTGCTTGACAGTTTGTGAGAAGAGGAGAAGAGAGCTTTTTTTTTTTTCTAATCTACCTAATCTACCTCAGCTTCTACCTGTCTTGGTCAGGTAAATCTAACCCAGCCTCTTGGCCTTGAACACAGTAAGTTTGATTGAACTCTCTTTTGCATTTGTGTAAAGCTGGAAAAGCTCCATTGACATCACTGAAGAAGCACCACTGTCAAACCTGTGGATGGGAGGCTACAGGGCGATCAGGAAATGCACTGCCACCCCCGGACATCTGAGCTCCTTCAGAAAATGCTGATCACTGGTGCCACATCCCTGTCACAGCACTGCCAGAGCAGTGGACAGCACTGGCACTTCTCTGAGCAAGAGAGAACAGTGTCAGCCCCTGCCCATACCAGGCTGGCATCACTGCCACTGGCACCCTAAGCCAGCTGGAAGGTGCAAAGTAAGGGTCCCCTATAAGCAACAGCATGGTGCTCCTTGGTTCTGAT